AATGTGAAGCAAAAATGAAACGTTAGCATTCCTGCTCAGAAACAGCTGCAGATGTCAAAAACTCATGAGGAACCCGAATTCACTTTTTCAGGATTTCCCAGTTTAACTCTGAGAGGCACCATAAACCATATAAATACATTTTCCAACAGTGTTTTGTTGAATTTCATTCTCCTAGAAACTGTAACTAAGGTCTGCTCAGCATAGTTGAAACAAAACATGTTGGATCTGTTGGTTTTGAAGAAACAAAAATGCCCCTGAGCAAGCGTCTACAACTGGGATTAGCTAGGCACCCTAGCAGAGTGATACTCAAATATAAGCAGCCAACCATAAGATATATATATATAAGCAAATATATGGATATAAGATCCGAAAGTATGAAGAAAAATATACGGAAAAAAACAAACAAAATCCTTATAAACAATTAAGCTGTTTTTTTAATCGACATTCTACTTCGATTCATCTTTCAGGACATATTCATAAAATATAATTTGTCATGTTGAATTGATAATGTTAATTATATTTTATGAATATGTCCTGAAGATGGTTTATTAGACCAAAACGTCCGATGTTGACATATTAACATTAAAACAGCATAATTGTATATAAGGATTTTTGTTTGTTTTTTTCCGTATATTTTTCTTCATATATATATTTCTTTTTTTATTTTTACAGTGGTTTTCATCCTGAACAAGGCCCTGGGGCCACTCAAGGTAGATGGTTACAGAGTAAGAGGTACTGTTTATACAGGTATGTGTGGAAGATAATGGTTAAACCTGGACTTGAACAGATTAAGATTATAGTGATTGGGGAAGCAACCTCTTGGGAGTTGGCTCCACAAGGATGAGGTTTGTGGGAAGAAGCTGCTTGAGTGAAACTTGTGCCTCACCAGGTGGATATGAAGGTAATAAGAGTGATTTACAACAACGTGATTAGCATGGCAGGTCTTAGCTGTGAAAGTTAGTTGTGAGTTCAATTTCTGGGCTGGGTAGTACATACTCAGTGGAAACAGAATTAGCAATAAATGGGCAGTCTTAGAAAAAAATAGGACCAAACATGATATTCCAAGACATGGAGAGTAGAATGAGAACAATCTATCCTGTAGATTGAATAAAGTGTTCAATTCAAAATTCCCTCAGTGTACATAATAGCTCATCTCAGAAATATAGACAGATACTATTTACATTATTCTGACTATTGTCCTCATCTTTGTCACCATATTTATTACAACTTTTCGGCCGTAGTACGCTCTGGCCTTCTTCAGGTGGTTGGAATGTTAAATTTAAAATACCCAGAAATTTATACACAGATGTCCTCAAGGACACATGGCACAGTGGATGAGTTGGTTAGATTTTGACAGGACTCAAGGAGTTCAATACAGTTAAGGCAGTGGAGAACTTGGACAACAGAAGATAACTGATAACTGACATGGCAAAAACATGGAAGTGGAACTAGAACAGTCTATCCCAGTGAGCAAAATAAAGGTTTCAGTTTGACATTCCACTCACTGATATCAGTTATCTTCTGTTAATTCCCCTCTCCAAGTTCTCCACTGCCTTTAACCGGGTATTGAACTCCTTGGGTCCTGTCACTGGATCTAACCAACGCCTTTATCCACTGTGCCATGTGTCCTGGAGGACATCTGTGTATGAATTTCTGGGTATTTTAAATTTAACATTCCAACCACCTAAAGAAGGCTAGAGTGTACAACGGCCAAAACGTCGTAATAAATATGCCGACAAAGATGAAGACAATAGTCTGAATAATGTAAATAGTGTTCAAAATTCCCTGAATGTTAACCCGATTGCCAGATATCTGGATAATGCTAGAGTGTATAGCAACCAAAATGTGATGATGACAACAACAAGGATGAGGATATTAGTCCAAGTGTAAATAACAAATTAAAGTACCATACTTGGATATCACTTAGTCAGCAACTGTGTATCTATGAACAGAAGTGCCTTCTTAGCTGTGTTTAAATATATCTAAAGCTTTGAGCCATATTTGGATATCCCAGAGTAAATGAATTTATATCCGTGTAAAGAAGCATGTTCTTGACAGCAGGTGTGTATGTTTGGATGCGTCCTCATTTTATACACATCGGTTAGTGTGTTACTGTTATAATCCATTTTTATTGGTCAGAAAGCTAATGTTAACATCACAAAGTTTAAAATGTCTTTCATTTTTTTTTTTCTATTTGAAGTTTTGGCAAATTTTCAACAGCTTTCGTCTTTCCTGCTTCCTAAGTTTAATTTTTAAGATCTATTTTTTTTTTTCTTAAAAGTTCATGTTTCAGAAACAGTTTTCACTTGTTCTTAGATTCTGCACATAAAATGGTTTTGAGTTGATTTGCTTGTTTTCTGCATTTCCTTCCAATCTTGTTTCTTGAAAGAGAAATATCAAAAAGCACACACTTCATGTTGTCACTCTCATTCAGAGACCAGAATGAAGAACTATATCCAAAAACGAAAAAATAGAAGCGAAAAAGAGAAACCTGACAAACATTAAATAATATAAAAGAATAGGTGGAAATATGCAAAGATGCAAATCTTTGGAAAAAAAAAAAAGAAAAAAAAAGTCATATTTTGTGAATATGGTGAAAAGGGGAGGAACGAAAAAGGAAAGGAAAGATGGGGAAAGAAAGGAGAAAAAATAAAGAAGGTGAAACAAGAAAGAAGGGAGAAAAAGGAAAAAGAGAGGGGGAAAAGAAAGAGGGAAAACAATAAACAGGGAGAAACAAGGAAGTGGGATACAAAGAAGGGAGAAAAGAAAGGGAGAAACAAAGAAAGTAGAAAAAAGAAAGAGGTTAACAAGGAAGGGAGAAAAAAAGAGAGGTTAAAAATTAATGGAGAGAAAAAAAAGAGAGGTTAAAAATTAATGGAGAGAAAAAAAGAGAGGTTAACAAGGAAGGGAGAGAAAAAAAGAGAGGTTAACAAGGAAGGGAGAAAAAAGAAAGATCAGGAAAAAAGAAGGGAGAAAAAATAGAGGTGGAAACAGGAAAAAAGACAGAACGCAAAGATAAAGGAAGAAAACAAGGGGGTGGCGGAAAAAAGAGAGGAAACAAAGGTAGAAAAAAAGAAAGAAAACAAGGAAGGGAAAATGAAGAGAAAGAGCAAAGGAAGGGAGAAAAAAGAAAGGAAACAAGGATGGGAGGAAAAAGAAAGATGGGGAAATAGAAAAAGGAAGAAAAAGACAGAATGTCAAAGAAGGAATCATGGAAAAAAAGAAAACAAAAGAGAAACTTAAAGGGAGAAAATAAAGTGGAAACAAAAATGGAGAGAAAGGCAGGAAACAAATGAAAGAGAAGAAGAAGCATGTAAGAAACAAGGAAAGAAACATGAGAAGAAATGAAAAAGCAGAATAAGACAATGACAGAATGCCAAAGAGAGAAAGAAAAAAGTTAAAGAAAAGGAGAAAAACAAAAGGGACAAAAAGAACAAAAGAGGATAGGAAACTAAAAAGCAAAAAAATGAAGAAAGAGTAAGAATGGAAAGAAGGAAATAAAAATAAGAAAGAAGAGATGAGAGAAAGAAAGAGATAACTAAGATGGCCCTAATAAAAATAGAAAGAAAGGGAAAAAAAAGAAGATAAATAAAAATGGAAAGAAAAAGGAGCATAAATAAGAATGAGTGAAATAGAGGTAAAAAGAAAGAAAGAAAAATGAAAAAAAATGAGCAGAATTAAGAAAGAAAGAAGAAAGAGAGGAAAGAAAGAAAGAAAAAAAAGGAGTGTAAAACTAAGAAAGAAAAAGAGTTACAGAAGATGGAAAGAAAAGAAAGAATAAGAATAAAAGAGAATAATTAAGAGAGGTACAAAGAAAAGAAAAATGTAAAGAAAAGGAATAAAAGAAGAAAAGAGCAAGAGAAATAAAGAAGGAAAGAAAAGGAATAAAAAGAAAAAGAAAAAATAAGAAAGATGAAAAAAGAGGTGTATAAGAAAGAAAGAAAAATGGAAAGAAAAGAAGTACAAAGAAAAGAAAAATGTAAAGAAAAGGAATAAAAGAAGAAAAGAGCAAGAGAAATAAAGAAGGAAAGAAAAGGAATAAAAAGAAAAAGAAAAAATAAGAAAGATGAAAAAAGAGGTGTATAAGAAAGAAAAGAAAAATGGAAAGAAAAGAAGGAAAAAAAAAATGTAAAAGAAAAGGGATAAAAGAAGAAAAGAGCAAGAGAAATAAAGAAGGAAAGAAAAGGAATAAAAAGAAAAAGAAAAAATAAGAAAGATGAAAAAAGAGGTGTATAAGAAAGAAAGAAAAATGGAAAGAAAAGAAGGAATAAGAAAAGAAAAATGTAAAGAAAAGGAATAAAAAGAAAAGAGCAAGAGAAATAAAGAAGGAAAGAAAAGGAAGAAAAAGAAAAAATAAGAAAGATGAAAAAAGAGGTGTATAAGAAAGAAAGAAAAATGGAAAGAAAAGAAGTACAAAGAAAAGAAAAATGTAAAGAAAAGGAATAAAAGAAGAAAAGAGCAAGAGAAATAAAGAAGGAAAGAAAAGGAATAAAAAGAAAAAGAAAAAATAAGAAAGATGAAAAAAGAGGTGTATAAGAAAGAAAGAAAAATGGAAAGAAAAGAAGGAATAAGAAAAGAAAAATGTAAAGAAAAGGAAAAAAAGAAGAAAAGAGCAAGAGAAATAAAGAAGGAAAGAAAAGGAATAAAAAGAAAAATTAAAAATTTTTTAAAGGAAAAAGTAATTGACTGTAGTCAAGATCATTGAATCAATGCGAACTATCCATTCCTTCAGTGTACGGTATGTGCTTCATCAAGGCTATGTACAGTTTTGAATTTAGAGTTTTCCTTCTTCTAGACTGGTTGCCACCTAAGCATGCAGAATGCAGTCTGTCCTACTAATTATGCATAGCTGCAGGGAGGAGTGGAATTCAAACCTTTACCAAAGTAAGTTAACATAATTGAATGTAATGAACTAGACTGGAATTCGAACTCAGCTCTCTGATTTCTCAATCCAATCT